ATTCGCCGTTGTTTCTCAGCTTCAGCATACTGAGGTGTTCGTTGAGGAGACAGTGTCCTGTTATAAACCCAGTGAAAATCCGAAGATTGTTTTTACTTAAATCAAGGAAAACCTTTGATTTTTCTCGGTCGTAAGTTCTGAGGAACTTTTTCGGGTGTCTTAGACCGTTGGAGGACACCCATTCCGAGTTACGGATGGAGTCTTCCAGATTCTTAAGTTCCGCTTTCAGTTGGTTTCCGTTTGGAAAACAGAACGGTTCTGGTCCAGTTAGTAGAATGTTCGCTCCTTTCCTAGCTAGAAAATTAGCTTTTTCATTGCCTCCTATCCCTTGGTGAGCAGGCACCCAGAGTAGGAGAAATTTATTTTCTTTGCCTGCTATATCATGCAGCCATGTGTAAATATATATAAATTTTAATTTAACAAGGAGAGATAGGTATGATTACGCTGGTGATGATTTGCGGTAAAAGCAATTTGAATTCCTTATACATACATTATTATAGATTAAACACTTCAAAAATCCTGGCTATGGACATTCATCTAATTTAATTTATTTGCAAAGCAGCTCAAAATAAAATATATTTTTTGCAAGATAAAATTTTTATTAAAACATAATTATACAGGTGCCAGAAATATATAACAGAAGAATTAAGTTAGCATGGAGTACTTATGGAAGAAACTCAATCATATTCAAATCTAGAATGCCACATTTTCTGAAGGAGAAAACATTCCAACAATGTGTACTACCAGTTATGACCTACGCATGCGAAACCTGGATAGTTATAAGGAAATTGCAGGTCGCACAATACTCAATGGAACGAAATATGCTGGGAATAACAAAAAAAATTAAACTGGTAATAGATGACATTCAAAGAAATCCCTTATTGGCAATGGGCAAGACATCTGGCAAGAAGGACAGACAACAGATGAATCACAAAACTTACAGTATGCTACCCAGGAGCAATTAATTGACCTAGAAGAAGACCGAACTTGAGCTGGGACCATAATATTAGATTAGGAAATTAGCAGGGACAACTTGGACCATCCCTAGTCAACAATAGACAAAAATGAGCCCAACTACAAAGAGAGTATTTAATTATGTGAGAGAGGCTACACCATAATTGGAAATTCAACCATTTCATTAAGCTGAAAATGATGATGATACAAATACTATGCGGCTAATGCAACTTATGTGTTATAGCGATAATGACAAACATAAAAGAATAGCGTGCTTCAAAAAATAAGGACTATAGATAATTAGATAATACATACATTTTATAATATAAAATATATCTAAATACAATTATGCGGGTGCTGTATAGCGAGAGTAAATGGCTTTCGCTATACAGCACCCGCTTGTACCTTATCGATATAATATGACAAAGATAAGGAGTTGAGAGCGCGCTTCAAAGAACCAGATTTCACCCTAATGCCTCAGATACAATTTCCGCTAACCCTTTTGAGTCGCGCTCCTCCCTCTTTCCTCAAACTTCCATATATTCTCGGACGTTTCTGACAAATTCAATTATACTAATTGCTTCGGTTCGCGGTTACGAGCCGAAGCCGTTTGATTTCGTACCTGTTACTCCTCCGCCTTTAATTTAGCCATTTCGTGCCCGATTGAATTCCGATTCTAAGCACGCCGGGGTAAACAGAATCTGCATTTTGTTAAAGTTAGGAGAAGTTAGTTGGATAATATATAGAAATTCGACTCATAAAGTAATAAGTATTACCCATGCGTATTTTATATTGTATTTACTAAGAGTGGGTCCAAGGTGGGAACTTCTACTGTGGCCGCCAGTGTCGGTTCTACAAGCGTCTAGGTACACTCCATCAATACAGGGTGTCCCAGAAATAAATGCAAGTATTTTAACTGGTAATATAGTTCAACCCCAGAAACACGCCTATAAGTTTTTTCGCGAAAAAAAAATAAAATTCGGAATTTTTTGAAACTTTTTTTGGAATTTTTTTTATTTTTTTATTTAAAAAACATAATTTTTCGATAATATGGCAATATAGGTAGTAGATTATATTTTCAAGAAAGAAAATCCAGAAAAGATCCAGTGGTTCTCAAAATTTTAGCAAAAAAAAAAAAAATGTTTTTTTTATCGAGATTTACCACCCCTTAAAATACTTGCACTTATTTCTGGGACACCCTGTATGTTCCGGAAAGCTTATATATCGCAAGCGTATTCTCGGTTTTGAGTCGGGTATTTCGCGTGCAATCTTAACAAAAAAAAATAACCCCAGCGATTAACCAACGCAATCAAAACACCCCTACGGCGCGGCGTGTCTTGATGTCGATTACCGACAGCTGTAAAAAAATAAACAATAAAGACAGCTGTAAAAAAAATAAAAAAATATGTTTGTTCAACTCGAACCTGGGACCCCTCGGTCCCGAAACTACCGCTTTACCAATGGAGCTACAGCTGCTTTTATAACCAGGGTATAGCTAGGCATTACTTAGTTTTTCCGCAAACGCATTAAAACAAATTATTGCACCAGATTTGAGGTGTACGTATTGCTCAAGTTCCCTAAAAGGAATTACTTTAATGCGCAAATTTATTTCGATTTTTTCAAATAATTTATGAGGTAGCATCTGGATTAAGGTAGCATCTGGATTAGCATTTGGATGAAAATTGGGAGTTTTTAATATGGGAAATTTGATTTTGATGTCAATATGATCGGCCCTACATATTTTTTAACTGGTTTGAAGAGTAATAACTTTTCGTCCGTACCTGTATAAAACTACTGACTGAAAAAATATACAATTCCGTGATTTTTTATGTAAAAAATGTTTCTTGATAAAAATCGCTGCCGAGTAATGGTTCAGGATATATTTGGTATCGAAATTATCAATATCTGTCATTGACATAAATTACACAATAATTATACATGTTGACTAAATAGTTATTAGACTGAAATCATAAATTTGAAATGTTTTTGTGCCAAAAGTTCAACAGAAACAGTTTTATCTTCAATTTTTTGCCTAAAAATGTATGATTTATTCAAAAAAATAAAAATTTCCTAAATTTATTATTTTAGTCAAAAAATATCTGCAATTTTCGTTTTCAATCAATAATGACATGTATTGACTATTTCCATAATTATTTTAGAGAATAATTCTATTTAGGTTTATTGAAGAGCACTAAAACTCACATTCAAAAAATAACTTTAGATATTTTTGATTAGCTCGTTTACGAGCTATCGCCGATTTCTTTTTAAATATTTCTCCTTTCTTATGGCCCTCTATTTACTTATGAGCACCAGTCAAGGTAAAAGATAACTGTCAAGTGAAGTTGTCATTTCAGAAATTTACCTATTTAGTGCTTTATTATTATTGTAAACTCATTCCTACATCGGAAATCTTAAAGATGTATTTATAAATACAAATTAATATGAATTAAAGTAAAATAAAGTAATCAATTACAAGGTTAATTATAGTATTATTACAATATTCAATAACTTATTAATTTAGGTACTATTAAATTGTTAGAACTTTAGGATTTAAGAAGATGTTCAAATATTCCTCCATCGACTGCTAGACAATAACCCAGGCGATCATAAAATTCTCTTCTTACATTCTCTAGTTGGTAAACTGAAATTCTATTGCATTCGGCAGAAATAGCATTTTTAACTCGTCTAGATTTGGGTATTTTTTATCCTAGTATATCCTGTTTTTTTAAATGGCCCCAGAGAAAGAAATCATTTAGCGAAATATCAGGAGACCTTGCTGGCCATTTTACTGTATGATTTAGGCCAATAACGTTTCCGTTAAAACTATTGTCTAAATATTCCCGAACAGCCAGGGTACTATGTGCCGGGCAGTCATCCATTTGGTACTAAACTTCCTGATTTTCCCTAGCGGCATCATATAAAGCAGGTAAAATATGATTTTCGAGTAGTTCCAAATAATATTCTGCATTTAAATTTCCGTAAGAAATAATGGCCCGATAATATTGTGTCCGAATATCCCTGCCCAAACATTTACTTTCTGTGGATATTTCGTCCTTGTTTCGACAAACCTGTGTTGGTTTTCTTTGTTCCAATACCGATAATTTTGAACATTGGGTTCATTATTTAAGGTAAACGTGCATTCTTCAGTGAAACGTATGTTTTTTAAAAATTCCCTATCCGTGTTTGCTCTTTCCATCATATCAAAACAAAACGCCTGCCGCCGTATTTCGTCCCCATCTCGTAGCTCTTGGTGCTTTTAATATTTGAAGGAATAGTATTTATGTCGTTTCAAAATTCGAAACGCTGTAGTGTGATCTATTCCTATTTCATCCTCAAGTTTCCTTGTGCTGATCTTTCCATCGTTCTCTTCCACGCACAATAAAACTTCTAAGTCAGTATTATTTCTTGCATCTTCTGTTTATTCCTGTCTACCTTCACATCTGCAGTTATTTATTAGGGTACCTTTGGCGTCAAATCTCTGGATATTCCTTGCGATTGTAGATTTTCCAGGTATCGGTCTATTCGCATACAGAGCAGCAAACATGTCCGACACCTTTTGATAACTATTTCCTTGATAATACCATTTAATCATCAATACTTTTTCTTCGGTAGTGTAATTCATGGCTAATATTTTCGATGTAGCTATGAGTTTATAATAATAATAAAGCACTAAATAGATAAATTTCTGAAATGACAACTTTATTTGACAGTTATCTTTTACCTTGACTGGTGCTCATAAGTAAATACAGGGCCATAAGAAAGGAGAAATATTTAAAAAGAAATCGGCAATAACTCGTAAACGGGCTAATCAAAAATATCTAAAGTTATTCTTTTGAATTTGGGTTTTAGTGCTCTTCAATAAACCTAAATAAAATTATTCTCTACAATAATTAGGGAAGTCAATAATTGACCCCATTAAAATTTACACGGGATTTCCTATGTCCCGCTCGACGATGCAACACCCGATATAAACACTTGAAAGAATTTAGTTTAAATCTATGCATTTTCAGATTGTTGTACTCCTACTTACTAGAGTCTATTCTTACCTTTTATATTTCTGTACTACGGAGGAAGAATTTTGCTTTCTTCAAGGTTACAAGTCCAACTTGATATTTTCTGAAAGCGAAAATTACTATTAGTGTATCAATTTATTTAGTATTCTTCACATATTTGAAGCTCCAAAAAAATATAAAGTATACAATTGATTTTTAATACTACTAAATAAATTTAATGAATATTAATAGAAGTTCAATTATATTTGCAATTATATCAAGAATGCTTTTTAATATTTTATTAACAATTAATTTAATTATATTCTACGGTTTAAAAACGTTACTGCTTTAATTAGTAGAAATACAAATAGGCATTCTGTAAATAAAATTTTTAAAAATTTTGTTGGAATAAACATGTAAATCAGATGCATACGAATTATGTTTCTATGAATCTATTGCCAATCTTTATTACAACTCAAATATAAAAAGTATATAAACTCTTAGAGAATTGGATAATACAATTTATACCAGGGTATACTTACTACCAGATATCGCTTGTTTTTGAGTATTTGCATTTTACCTGCCGCGTCGGTTCTCTATAAATACAGACAGCCAGAGCAGGTGTCTCAATTGTTTTTTATAAACACAGCGTCAACAGAACGTAGAGCCCGAACCCTTATTATATAAAATACGATAAGCGAATATCTATGTGGGTACACAGAGTTCTATACAAATCGACATAAATTGTTGGCAGACTATCTACGAATAGACCGAATATTTTTCTAACAGAGAGAATAATAAGTTTAATTTAATAATTAAAGCTTGATTTTCATGCATCCGTGGTCCGACTATACGATGATACGATATTAATTTTATTGGTTGAATTTAAAAACTTCGATTGGTTAGAAACGGTTAACCAATCGAAGCCTTTAAACACAACCATGAAATTATTATCGTATCAACGTATCGTCGGACAACGGATGCATGAAAATCAAGCTTAACACATACGAGTATATTAATAAGTCAAATAGATGAACAGGTTAGATTATAATTATTGTAAAAATAAAAATTGTACTGTCAAAATGCTATTTATACTGGGTATATAATATTTAAAGCGTTTTTTAAAATAGAAATAATGCTTTAAAAATAGAAAAAAAAACACAAATAAAACAGAAAGCATTATTTACAAAAATACTTTACTCATACTAACATAAATGCAACCTTTCTCATCGTATCATAGTTATTAATAATAAGTACCTTTAAATTAACTATTCATAATAATATATAATATCTTACTTTATCTCTAAATAAATTAGAACTTTGAATTACTAGTTGATTCAATTACATATTTTTTTGTTAAATCTTTTATTCAAATTTGAAATTCAGCCAAAATTCTTTTAGTTAAAACTAGTTTAAGAGAGCAGAATTTTATTCTCGAAAAAGGGAATTTCAAACAAAACCTCACATTACTATTCAGCGCCATTCCCAATACCTTCTTTCCCGGAATTTACCCTTAACGAAATGTAAATATGCACGTCAACAGACTTTCGGAAAGATCAAACAGGTTACGGTGAAAAGAGCCTGAAAATGTAGTTCTTTTTCGTAAAAAGATAGATATTGACATGCTACAAGTTGTACAGAATACGTTGTAATCTCCAGATTAGTGTTTTTATAAAATTTTAGACTTTATATAAACATTCTCGCTCTCAATAAAAGTGTACCCTGTGGTGCATCCCTAGATCATATACAGGGTGGTCCGAACTATACTCCGGAAACTTCTGCAGCATATTCTGCAGATAAAAATAAGTAAAAAAGTTCGTATAAATGTTAAGTCCTAAAATGCTTAGTTTCAGAGATAAAGGGTGTAGAAGTCTCAATTTTATTTCGATTTTTTCTAAATAATTTCTGAAGTAACGTCAATATTTGGATGAAAATTGGTGTCTGGTAGTTTTTTGATATGAGAAATTTGATTTTGATGTCAATATGACTCCTACTAGTAGAGGGCACCACCTACATGTGTTTTAACTGTTTTGAAGCGTAATAACATTTTGTCCGTACCTGTATAAAACTACCGAGCGAAAAAATATACATCTCTGTGACTTTTTACCTAAAATTATCTCTTTGTAAAAATCGCTACGAGCAACCGTTCTTAAGATTCAATACATGTCATTATTGACGAAAAATAAACCCACGTTGCGTTGAGTAGATAATTATTTCACTGAAATAATAAATTTGAAAATTTTTATTTTTTTTAATTTATCATTAATTTTTCTGCAAAAAATGATGATAAAACAGTTTCTGTTAAACTTTTGGCCCAAAAATATTTCAAATTTATGATTTCAGTTTAATAACTATTTAGTCAACATGTTTAATTAATGTCAGTGATGACAAATATTAGTAATTTCGATTCCAAATATCTCGAAAACCATTACTCGTAGCGATTTTTACCAAGAGACCTTTTTTACATAACAAACGTCGCAAATGTATATTTTTTTACTCAGTAGTTTTAAACAGGTACGGACGAAAAGTTATTACTCTTCAAACCAAACCGGTTAAAAAAATATGTAGGTGGCGCCCTCTACTAGTAGGAGCCATATTGACATCAAAATCAAATTTATCATCTCAAAAAACTCCCAGACACCAATTTTTATTCACATATTGCCTTTACTTCAGAAATTATTTGGAAAAAATCGAAATAAAAATGAAACTTCTACACCCTGTATCTCCGAAACTAAGCATTTTAGGACATACATTTATACGAACTCTTTTACTTATTTTTATCTGCAGAATATGCTGCCCTAGTTTCCGGAATACAGTTCGGACCACACTGTATTATGAAAAGTTAATTTAAGGTTTATTTATTATTTATAACTGTGATACTATGATAAAGGTTGTATTTATGTTAGTATGAGTTTATAAATGAGGTTATAAATGTGGTCTATTTTTCCAAAAAAAATTTTTTCTATTTTTAAAGCATGAATTCTATTTTAAAAAATAGGTACTTTAAATATTATATACTCAGGATAAATAGCATTTTGACAGTACAATTTTTCTTTTTACAATAATCTAACCTGTTTATGTATTTGACCTGTTAATATACGTGTTAATTATTATTAAATCAAACTTACTATTCTCGCTCTCTGTTGAAAAAATATTAGACATATAAAGACTAGTCTATTCGTAGACAGTCTGCCAACAATTTATGTCGATTTGCATGGAACTCTGCTTACCCACATACATATTGGCTTATCGTATTTTATACAGGGTTGTTCACCACATACGACACGGAGTATTGTAGCTAAACGATTAGATTTTTACAAATTGTAAGTTTTGAGTTCGTTGAAGATCTCCTAGAGCTACAATTTAAAAATATTTTTACAAGATACAGAGTGTCCCAAATAAGTAAAAAATATTATAGTTGTATTTTTTTAAATGGAACACCCTTATATTATTCTATTTTTGGCTTCTACGATTGAAATAAAGGTAAATTTGATTAAGGTTTATCACACTTAAACAATACCGTTTTTGAAATATTTTCAATTTTATGAAATTGTAGTAAAAATTTTAAGGCTTTATTTCTCCCAGGGTATCAAAGTTTTTAGTACTAAATATTTACTGAAGATTATTTATTGATCAGATATTGTGTTGCAATAATAAAAATTTTACTACCTTATACAGAGTGTCCAAAAATTTATATTAAATAATTACTAGCTTTAAACGGCAATAACTTGTTTAATTTAAATGGAACACCCTATATATTTTACGTGAATCAGATGCACAATATAATTGTCTATCAAATTGTATTATACCATTTTTTACCCATCTCTTCAAGTTTTCGTAGAAAATGCATTTTCTTATAATTTAGACCTCATTTATCACTATTCCCATGGAATATTGACATTTCAGATTTTTTTATAGCACCATAATATGTACAAATTGTACAGGTGGTTAATATTGCAAGCCCATTGGCATATGATAAAAAACTATTTAAATCTTTGTAAAAGTGTGTACCAATTAAATATACCACCATTATTTCCTACAAAAAATACCAAAAATTAGTTAATTACATACTTTTAAATTGTTTTAATTGATAAAATATTCTAAATAAATGTGGATTTGGCTCAGAAATCAATATAATAATAAGATATAAAAATGAATGTCTCTGTTTTTATAAATAAGCATTCGTCAATAAATAAAATAAAATTTATAAGGTGTTACTTTTTACCACACTGTCTAATACACACACAAAATTCAGTTTTTTAGTATTTGGAGCAATTATTACTACAACGTAAACAGTCAATTAATGTAGTTTGAATACTGGGATCATATTAATTGGTCCTCTTTAACAAAAAATATTTAAACAGTTTTTTTCATTTTTTAATTAAATAAGCGAACTATATCAACAATATTAGTATCTGTACCCTTTGAAAATTTGTTACATTTTTAAAAATAAGATAAAATGTCAATGTTCCATGGGTATAGTGATAAATGAGGTCTAAATTATAAGAAAATCCATTTTCTATGAAAACTTGAAGAGATGGGTAAAAAATGGAACAATACAATTTGATAGACAATTACATTGTGCATCTGATTCACGTAAAATATATAGGGTGTTCCGTTTAAATTAAACAAATTATTGCCGTTTAAAGCTAGTAATTACTTAATATAAGTTTTTGGACACTCTGTATAACGTAGTAAAATTTTTATTATTGCAACACAATATCTGATCAATAAATAATCTTCAGTAAATATTTAGTATTAAAAACTTTGATACCCTTGGAGAAATATAAATTTTTTACTGCAATTTTATAAAATTGAAAATATTTCAAAAACCGTAAGGTTTAAGTGTGATAAACCTTAATCAAATTTACCTTTATTTCAATCGTAGAATCCAAAAATAGAATAATATACAGGGTGTTCCATTTAAAAAAATACAACTATAATATTTTTTACTTATTTGGGACACTCTGTATCTTGTAAAAATATTTTTAAATTGTAGCTCTAATAGACCTTCAACGAACCCAAAACTTACAATTTGTAAAAATCTAATCGTTTAGCTACAATACTCCGTGTCGTATGTGGTGAACAACCCTGTATAATAGGTATTCGGGCTCTAAGTTCCGT